AACCAGTTCAGGATTTTATCTTTAAGGACAGATCATTCCTAACAGAGCCACTGATTTAGTGTGTGACAGTCCTACAGCACTTCTGCTGTCGGTGACAATAACAAATGAAATGAATTAATAAAAGGTGTTAAGGGGTTAGTAGAGGAAGATGGGTATAAAATACCTGTGGAACAGGATGTGCTTTCCTTACTTTCCTGTCTGTTTCTTCTGCTGGAGGGGAGGGGGGAGGGGGGGGGGGAGGGGGGGGAGGAAGGCCAACAAGAAGGAAGGGACAAGTTAATGCAGGAGAGTGGTTACTTTTAAAAGGAATATAAAACCCATTAACATAAGTCAAATCATATCATGACAGAGATGGAGACTGAAAAATCCTTGGCAGGGTAAAAGATAATAAATGCAGATGGAAAAAATTAGGAAATGTTTTACTAAAGGTACCATATAATCTCACTAGCACTAATAAACAGCAGGGTAAATAAGATGGTTGCCATAGTGATGCCAAACAGCATTTATGAATCACAAATCCTAGTCACTAACCAGTCAGAGGTATATCATCCCTGCACAGCTGGATCACTGCTTCACATCTCCTAATCTGGACTAAGACATTTTCACAGATCCAGATTATTAATCGGATGTTTCTGATTCTGATTGCAACCAGAGGTCTGAACTAGAACTGAGCAGGGTGGACATAGAACAGGGGTGTCAAACAAGCGGGTTCAATCCGGCCCGCAAGATGGTTGTGTAAACTTTATTTTCATACTTTAAAATGTAGAGTGAAAATAAACGTATCTTTGTGAGCAAGTTTCCTCTGTAATGAGTAAATAAAACAAAGCTGCGCTCAAGGCTCACACAAGAACGTGAATCACATCCTGAAGATGGCCGCCACTCAGGATGTGACTTCTGATGTTGATGTGCTGGTGAAAGCTAAAAGATGTAAAGTAGAATGAGTCAAATATACTTTTAAGTGCTGCATGAAACTGATCTAGCCATGTGATCTGTAAGCTCTTTGAATCACTAAGGAATGTCTTTTTTATTTGTTGATTTATTTATTTATTTTTTCAAATTTTCAAGTACACTTCAGGTGTTGTACTTGTACTACACTGTCCTCAGGCTCCAGCCTTGTTTTATATTGATTGTATTAAAACAAAGAAAACAATCTGAAGTTTTTTTTTTTTATTTACCGGTCCGGCCCACTTGGGACTAGATTTCCCTCAATGTGGCCCCTGAGCTAAAATGAGTTTGACACCCCTGACATAGAACATGGATCGCATAAATGGCCCAGTAACGGTAAAGCCTAATCCTCATCCAGCAGCTGTGGGTGTTTGCACAGCTTCAGGACCGTGCTGAAGTCTGGATCAAGCTGCAGAGGTGTGTAGATGTTTTACCTCCAGGTCTGGGCAGGCTCTCTTGGCAGGAGGAGAATGGGAGCTCACCAAGGCCTCTGGGTCTGTAGACAGGTGCTTCAGCACAATGCACGTCTGGATCAGGAAGCCTCTGCAAACGTGCACACACACACACACACACACACAGTGAATAATAGAGATGTAAAAAGATTCTGCATATCTGTTTGTAAGGACATCCTCTGATTATCTGGACAAATTCTCTGACCACCACCCAGACAGGAGTGTTTGTAACCAGAACAGTCAGCTGACTAAACTGGTTTCACACGGGGGATAAAGGCAGGCATTTAGGGTGTCTCTTAGAGTTGGGCATCGTTTGAATTTGAACAATTTTGGTTCATATCGATTCCTGATTCAGATTCTTTCAAGAGGCATGGTCTAAAAACTTTACATGTTTTAAATGAGCAAGCTAACCACAGCTCTGACTTGATGAAATAATCTGAACTTCAACGTGAATTTTAATTCTATGAACAACATTATCTTCATTGTGTGTGTGAGAGATAGCTTGTCCTGTGTGTCTCTGTGTTGCCCTGCGATGGCCTGACTCTCTGTCCAGGGTGTACCCTGCCTGATTGCCCATAGGCACCAGCCCCCCCCCACCCCACGTGGACAAGCGGGTTCAGAGGATGGATGGATGGATGGATGGATGGATGGATGGAGTCATTAGAGGACAAAAACATCCGCTTGTAAAAGTGGCTATAAAAATGTATTTTTTTGTAGATCTGCTGAACAACTTCAGCCCTGCTCAAACATAAAAAAATTAAATCAGTTTGAAGCTTTTTACCCTTGAAATGCCAGTTAAATAATAATAAATAAATAAACACAAAAACTTTTCTAAAAAAGACTATTTGCCTGGGGTGTTTAGTACAAATCAGTCTCGATTATGTTATGAAATATCAAATTTAGAATTTTTTGCATTTATAGTTTTTACATAGCAAGAGATTTAAAAAAATTTTATACACTCGAGCCAGCTCACACCAGTGTGTGAAGCAGCTGGGATGAGAATCCGTTTCTCTAAATCTAAGACCATGGTCTTGAGTCAGAAAAGGGTAGAATGCCTTCTTCAGCTCAGGGATGAGGTCCTGCCTCAAGTGGAGGAGTTAGGAGGAGTTAGAGTACCTTGGGGTCTTGTTCACGAGTGAGGAAAAGATAATGTATTTTTTAAGGTTACAAATTAGGGGTGGGCGATATGGAAAAACAAATAGAGATGGACAGGCAGATTGGTGCTGCATCTGTCGTGGTGAAGAGAGACCTGAGCTGGAAGGCAAAGTTCTCGATTTACCGGTCGATCTACATTCTACATTCCAACCCTCACCTATGGTCTCGAGCTTTGGGTCGTGACAGGAAGAACAAGATTGCGGATACAAGCAGCCAAAGTGAGTTTTCTCTGCAGGGCGGCTGAGCTCTCCCTTAGAGATCGGCTGAGAAGCTTGGTCATTTGGGAGGGGCTCAAGACCAACGTCTTCCTGCGGTGTCCGTGAGGGCGCACGGGGTTGGTTAGCGTTCCTCCCGAGATATGTATATAAACACACGTTTCTATGGTTCCTCCTACGTCCGTCACAGCGGTGGGTGGGGTTTGAGCGGGTGAGTTTGACCGACTTCCGGGGAGGTTTGTTAAGATGAACGGCTCTCTACAGGGACTCGGCTCTCATCATTCACTTTGAAAACCCGTTCAATTCGATTCATTCGTGAACATCACATCACTTCTGCTGTTCAAACAAATCAGAGTCAGCGTGAGCAAGAGAGTCTGGGGAAATAAGGATGACAACACCCAGGAAGAAATGCCAAAATGTTTCCAAAGTGTTCAAATATTTCAAACTCAAGACGACGGACAAGACCGCTAGCTTAGTGCTAAGTTAGCATCGTGCTAAACTAGTTAGCATAGCGTTAAGCTAGCATTGTGTTAAGCTAACGTTTCTCAACAGCAGAAAGAGTTCAGAAGCTTCAACGGAACAGTGCAGTTTTATCACATTTCAGAAAAGAAAAACAAAAGTGATCAGATTTATTTGACGAATATTTATGATTGTTACGTGTTTCAAGCAGATAAATTAAATATTTCTCATTGTTTTAGGAATGGGCTTCATTGGACAGCTTGGTCTGTGCAAATCCATCCTGCTCGGCTGAATCTGCACAAGAGTAAACAGGCAGCAGCTTAAATAGAGTTGAAATAAATGTTATAGAAATATACTTTTTATTCATTTGGTTATTTTACAAGTATTGCTCGGTTACAAATTGGCCATACTTTCCAAAGAAAGGAAAATAAAGGCTTATCAAGATTATTAGAATTATCAATGGATTACTGTGACCTCAAAGTAATACGTTACACCTAAATATCCTTTGTAATTATTTTAGAGGAGCTACAAATGATTTTTGAAACTTTAACAAGTAATGAGTTGTTCACACTTTACATTAGGGGAAGAAAAATGTGTAATTCATTACTTGTAGATGTACAAATGTCATTCATTAATGTATTTTTTTAAGGTTACAAATTAGGGGTGGGCGACATGGAAAAATAAAATCACAATTTTGCTTTTGCAAAATCACGATGATGATTTTATAACAATTTTTTCTATTTTGACAATTTAGACATTTTGGAAGTTATTTACCATTAAAATACATGAATTTAAGATCAGACCCCTCCAAGGAAAATAGGATTAAAAAATTTCAGAATCCTAAAAAAATCTTTAAATTTCATTCATTCATGAGAGTCATGGGAAAGTCAAAATGCTTTATTTAGCTGTATGCTAATACTCAGTAATCATCTAGCTTTTCATTACTTTACTTTCTAATTGATGTCATCTCCATTGTTCAGGTGTCTGTGGCAGCAGTGGAGCGATGGACAGCATCATTCAGTGTGTTGTCAAGAGCTCCAAACCTTCAGGCAGCTGCTGCTCATATCCAGTGTTTAACAGGTCATCCTGGAGCTGAGCGACGCTGTTTGAAACCCTTTATTCCAAGGCTGGCATACCACATGTTTAAACAGCAACATGGGCACAGAAATCTGCAGTGTAATGAGTGAGGACACATTATTTATGAAAATGAAATGTGTTGTAATTTTTATACAGACTGAACAACAAATCTTTGGTTTTCATAGAACAGATTTAATGTCTCAAACAATACATGTTGTGCCAAGGATAGCTAGCAACATAACTTCACTATTTATTCTTCCATTTTTCTTAAGAAGTTTTAAAACATTTTAACACCATGCTTCATTTACACAGTCATGCATTTTTATACACCTTATCTACAATAACACATCAGCTCAATGAGTAAAGCTCATCTCTGAAACTTTTATTATCAAGTTAGGGGCGAGAAACAACATTAGTGAAATATACACATAAATGGCATAGTATAACATAGTACACAGTATATGTATACATATATACAGAATAGAATATGTAGAAGTAATAGTAATAACACAGAAAGGAAACAAGCTTGTCAGGTGAGGAGATCATCTTTTTACAACGTTTACATTACGGGCAGTATCGCTATGTAGTCTACAGGCAGATGATCCAGTGGGCACATGACATCATCGGGCGACATCATGTGTAGTGAACGCCATCAGAGCTGCCTTTCCAGGTGAAGATGGCCAGTCCAGAAGCTTCCACTGGCCTGATCTGGACTAGTGTGGTATCTGTAAAGACATGTGGCTCAATGTTTGCATGAACTGATAAAATTATTAAAAATTCCAGCTGAATAAAATGTGCCTGGTGTTCATGCCAAGGTCTGAGAACCTGTATGCTTAGGAGCAAATCTCAGGATGAGGGAGTGGAACACCTCGAGTATGCCTGGAGCTGAGGGGACAGCAGCCTCACATCCTTCACATCCTGGCTGAAAGGCTGCTTTCTCCAACTTGACTGCTGAAGTCGATCCTGCAGACAAACAGGACACATTTAAATAAACTACACATTAAGTTTACTTCCAGGAAAATGAATGTAGTTCAAACACTCACAGGGCTAGTCACTGCTTGTTCCTGCTTTGCTCTTCCAGTGGAGGATGGAGACAAACTGGAAATTCAGGTGTTTCGTCATGGATGTCCTGAACACGATTCACAAGTAACTTCCATCATGCCTCCATAATGTCAGTGTTGCCATCAGGTGTGGATTCAGCGGTCCAGTACAGATGGTTCACGATGGACTGCTTCCACATGTCACGGAGCTGTGGAGTAAATAGTGAGGCCGAAATCGGAGCGATCTGTGACAGATTGTTACTTCTCTTTAGTTTAATGGGTTTTTATGTATAAAGGATGAGGATGAAGGACCAGTGGACACATCAGCTGTTTAGCTGAAAGACGGGAAAAGGAGACCCGCAGCCGAAGAGAGGCTTTTAGAAATTATCCTTCCTCTTTGAAGAAGATGAGCTGGGTCATGACCCACAAAAGATGAGCCATTTCCTGAGAAAATCAGGTCTTTGTTTAATAATATAAATTTTTTTAGAGATATTTGTTAATTTTCCAGGAAAACACAACAAAAAACATTTCTTAGCTGATTCTCATGACACAAAATACACGTGTGTGCATAAATAAATAAATAAATAAAAACTAGATTGGTACAATGATAAACAAACGGGTTCAGCCCCTCTGTCCATGAATGGTCCTGGAACCTATTTTGTGTTGTGATGGTTGACATTTACCTGATGACAAAGGAGATGACTCAAGTAGCACGGTTCACTGAGGTCTGCCACCTCATCATGTGTGTCAGCAGCATCAGGAATGAGCTCAGCTTCCACCTGTGAAGTTACACCTGACATTATCTATAAAACACAAGTACAAATGTATATGTAAGAGTTATTTTCTAAATCTGAACATGTCAGTGGAGAATATATAACAGGATTTTACTTTTACAGCATAGAAATATAGACCAACTAAAGCAATAGAAAAAGATGTTGCTCTGGAAGTATATTTATATGCACAGGACTGGCTTGCCAGGCTGTTTTATTCTAGCCTGGCCTGCCAGACTCATTCTCT